TTGTCTCCTCAAGGATGGATCTTCGAAGTGCACGTAATATAGGCCAAAACTTCTTTCTAATCCATTCAGTAATTCAAATACATCTAGAAAGGCCCATACAAAATAACCTCTAATATTCAGTCCACTCCTATCAATGTGAACATAGAAACCACTCCATTAGAATTCAAGAAAAAATAATCAATAAAGACATAGTAGAAAGTGAAAATAGAGGTACCTCAACATATCAAGCACGCTCCCGATGTATTCATGCATATACTTCACTCTTGACCAGTCATCTAATGATGAATTCCTACGTGTTTGTTGACCTGAGAAGTTCAAATATTATTCATCATAAACCATCAAGATTGTGATGTTATTGATATAAGTACAAGTAGAAATAGACTTTGGTTGTGCGGATTTTTCAAAGGCTAAACCTAATTTGTATCTAAAACTTAAATGTCAAGAAACCTAATTTGTACCGATTTCGTGAAGGTAAATGGGAAAATTGCCAAAATCATTCTTCATTAATTGAAGCATCCCTTGCAAAATCCAGGGTATCACCGGAAACTAAACAAACAAATCAGCTAGTGAGTGGAATTGATTGAAGCTTTAATGCTCAAAAAGTAAAAGTAACCACAATGTTCATATTCTAGTTTTACCTCATATGTATATGTACCATTTCCAGAATAGGCTACAATCATGTAACAAAACATTATTAGATTAAAGATCCTTGTATAGTTGGAAGAAAGAGAATATCAAACACTGATTTAGCTTATCATAGTTTCTAAGATGTAACATGTTTTCATCTAAAGGAAGTTGTTTGATCTCAATATAGAGTTGGGTATGCAATCAAATTGGTGCAATAAATAACATAGAAATAATCATACGCTTAATCTCTGCGGCCATATCTGCCATATGATCTCTATTCTTTTTCTGCAGACTACCAGGGTTGTCCTTAATATAAAATGTGTTGTAAAAGTTGACTCCAAGAAAGTCTATTGAGCCCTTAACCAAATTTGATTCCCTACTCGTGAAGAAAGGAAGTCTTGAGCCAACATTCTTTTTCATGGTGCGAGGATACTCTCCAAATGTTAAGGGATTCATAAACCTGTCATAATAATCCAGAGAAAAGAAATCTGGTCTTGTAATTCATTATTGTATAAAGAAATAGTTGTTCGTATTAAATTGGTAAAATAAACTTAACGTGGAATTTTTATGGAAAAAGTTTTTCGTTGTTATATTCTAAACAATTATATGTGTGATTTTAGAAGTAGAGATAGATATCACATGCATTTTGTTTCTTACCATCCAATATAGAAGTCTTTAGCTCTCTGAGTGGCAATTATGTCTTCACGAGTATTTGTTAGTGGAATCAAACCAAAAACAATGAGATTAAACCCAATAAAACCTTGTTGCTTGACCTGCAAGTATCATAGGTTTCATTTTTAAACAAAAGATACTATGATTATCATAGTGAAAAATGATATCATAACAATCATCTTACATAATATCAGGAATAATCATGATCTAAATGTGAAAAGCTTAGCCTATGTTTGGTAACACGGTGGGACAGCGTTGCAGCACGTTTAAGGCCTTTTTCACTGTGATTTTGAGAAGGTGACATGTTCAGTCCCATCATGATTTTCCACCATAATTTTGAAGTTTCCCAAACACACACTTAGATGATTGACAAAGCAAAATGGTGTATGTATGATATATTGATTTACCTGATACTTTTTCCTATACAGTCTCGCAGCTGAGGCGTGTGCTAACAACATATGATGCGCTGCCAAATATGGTTCAGTTGAAGAATTGCCTTTGGAGCAATTATATATAGAGGGAAGAGAACACCTTTGAGGTGGTAAAGACCCAGAACCATAGCCTGCTATTGCACCCCCATTCCCCTCATTCACTGTGGTCCAATATTTAACTCTATCTCCGAACTCTTTGAAGCATACATCTGCATATGCTGTGAAGTCTTTTCTGCAAGGTAGCATAAAATAGATATGAAAATATTAATTATAGAAAAATTGCTTTTCTTATTTTGGTTGAATATAGTTTGGGAACCGTACATAATTCTTCGACTAACCCATCCTAGGTATTCATCTTCAAGTGCTTGTGGTAGATCCCAATGATGCAATGTAACATGTGGATGGATTCCTACAAATGAAGGTGGAAACTAATTGAATTTAGTGTTGTCAAATAGTAGTTATAGCAGCTAGCGGATCACTATAGTGTAACATAATTTGAACAAACCGATATTTTGCAAATCTGCAATTGAACTTTACAATGTAAATCTAGTTTGCAAAAGAACCTTGGCTTGTTAATTCGTTGATAAGGTTGTTGTAATACTGCAGTCCCTTCGGATTTATAGGCCCTTTCCCATCTGGTATAAAATGAGATCATGGTCAGAAGAATGACAAACAGTTGATTCAAGAAGCTACAAAATTATAGATTCAAACAAAGTACAATCAGCTCTTGACATTATTTTAGAAATTACTTCTCTTACTCCATGATCACATACAACAATCTATCATACCTGGAATAAGTCTTGACCATGATATGGAAAATCTATAGGCATCTAAGCCCATTTTCGCCATGAGTTTGACATCATCCTGCAAGAAATGAAAGCATATGTAAACCAGTCGTTTGATATGTCGAACAGGAGAGATTTGCTGTATTCCATGTCTACTGACCTTATATTTGTGATATTGGTCGCATGCAATGTCCCCATTTCCCTCGAATTGTCCTGCTGCAAATTTAATTGAAATGGAGAGTTTCAATGTCTATGACTTTATAACATGATTAAGTGTAATAGCAAATAAATGAGAAAGAGCACCATTGCCAGCATATGCAAAGGTATCCCATATACTTGGTTTCCTGCCATCTTCATTTGCAGCACCTTCAACCTTTCATATCATCAAACATACAAAAATCAGCTTTAAAATCAAAATATATGGAGAGTAAAGAGTGAGTTCAGTGGAAACCTGATAAGCTGAAGTTCCAGCACCAAACAAGAAGTTAGGAGGGAAGTCATTTCTGGTAAATGCATTAGCAAAAGAAACTAATGATATCAATACAGCTGCAACTGACAGATGCATCACAGCAAAAGAAGAATTTATCAACATTAATTAGTGTTGTGTTTTTGGAATATATATCAAGCATGTGACTGGAGACTAATATGGTAAGGTTCTTTTGCTGAATATGTGGATGAGAAACTTCAACCTCTCTTTTTCTCTCATCTCAATTTCTTCAAGTTTCAGACCATATGGTCCCTAGTGCTGTAGATTTTATAAGAAATTAAAAAAATAAAAAAAAACTGTGTATAAAGTAAAACTATGCATTGTATTTCTTTCTTTTAAATAAACATTTTATTATTTATTAATAAAAATGTATAATAAAAAAGAGATAAAGGCATAGAAATAACCAGTTTCTACTATTGTAAATGGACATCGAAAAAATCCATAATCATAACTCTCAAATATTAAAAAAAAATCAAATATTTTCATTCAAAATTTTAAGGTGATAGGTGTGTGAGTTCTCTCACTTATAAAATCTTATGATAATGATACTTTTATATGAAAATATAAAACTAAATTTGAATAATTAGATTAAAATATCTATCAAGTGAGTCATGTCATGTGTCATTCTCATTCTAATTTAACTTTCTCTCTCATTCATTATCAAACTTCAATCCATCTTATTTATCATTTCACAAACCCTAAACTCCATGACTCCTTCTCAAATATGTAAAAAAATTGCATGTGTACAAACCTCTCTAGTATGCTTCTCAGAATCCATGTACATCTTCTATTTTGAATTAGAATGAAGTGTATAATTATATGTAAGAAGTTTTTTGTATCTTTGTGATTCTAAGACAGAATCAAATTGCATCCAAAATTCCACTCAAGTAAGATTCTTCTTCAAGTAATTACTAAAGAATAAATTTTCACTCTTAGATTATGATATTGTTATCATAATTCCATCCATAAATATATTTTTAAAATAGGCTAGTATCCACATTTTTCTATGATAAAACCACCAATTTTTTTCTCAAAGTTTTTTTTAGAATGTGCCACTTGCAAAATCTATAAGAAGTATCAATAGGTTTAATGAGTGTCGTTATAATAATTACTAATTAAAATAATTATGCATAAATGTATATTATAATACACTATCTGATTTTTTGAAATATAATTAGTAGTATTAATTAGCATAATAAATTGCATATATATATATATATATATATATATATATATATATATATATATATATATATATATATATATATATATATATATATATATATATATATATATATATATATATATATATATATATCGCTGATTTATTAGGTTGAATCAGTCATTTATCTTGTAATTTAATATGTATTTATATGAAAATTCTCCCAAGAAAGAATACAGAGTTTTTCAGTCATAGAATCTGAGTTTGACATGGCATCAGAGCATGTCACGATCCAAAGTCTAATCTTTATTATTCTCTAGTCTTGTCTTTCCGCTCTGAATTTCTTAATCTTGTTCTTTTTCTTTTGTGTTTTTTTTAATCAAGATTTTCATCTCGTGTTTCCTGTTGGAAATCCACCAATACTCTATGATGAATTTCGACCACCACTGATGATTAGTTATGAAACAAACTAAGAAAAGACAATAGAGATATTTCTGCAGAGTTTCTCTCTGCCCACAAACTGTGGAAATTTTATTAATTCACTTTGCAACTGCAAAATACTGTGAATGACTTGATTACAAAATAGGGGTTACTCCCTCTATTTATAGATTTAGGTTAGCTTGCTCTTTAAGCTAAACCCAAGCCCAAAATATCTCTTTACTAAATCAAATCTAATCTAGATTTAAATTCAAATCTATTTAAATTTAAACAAATCAAATCTTCTTTTGACACATATGAATTACAATTTAACACACCACCTAATTCATTGTGTCTAAACTGTCTATGTTCATCATGGCCCTTAGCTTTCTGAATATTTCGACCTGCACTCCCTTCGCCATGATGTCTGCAATCTGATTCTCAGTTCTGCAGTGTTCCAAATTCATCTTCTCATCTGCTACCTGCTCTCGAAGATAATGGAACCTCATTTCGATGTGCTTACTTCGACCATGTGCTATTGGATTCTTCGCCAGATTGATAGCTGACATACTGTCTATCTTCATGGTAATTGCTCCATGATTTTTCCCTGTTATCTCTTCGACCAAGTTCACCATCCAGGTTGCTTGACATGCACAAAGAGAAGCAGCTATGTATTCTGCTTCGCATGATGATAATGCTACTACTGGTTCTTTTCTCGAACTCCAAGCAATTGTTGCACCACCTAGCATAAACACATATCCTGTTGTTGACTTTCGATCTTCAGCATCACTACACCAACTAGAATTAGTCTTCACTTTGTATACCCACTTGACATCAATTGCCTTCTTTCCTTGAGGAAATTCGACAAATGACCAAGTGTTGTTGTCTTCGATAGACTTTACTTCTTCGTTCATTGCTTTCACCCATTTCGAATCTTTTAATGCTTCAGCTGCATTAACAGGTTCGACATCTGCATAGAAAGCATAATGTACCAGCTCACCTTCATCATTTATCACATCATCTGATGTAATCACACAATCTTGCAATCTTGCAGGCATGCGTCTTGTTCTTTGAGGTCTGCTTGTACTGGGTATATCTGCTGGCTCCTCTTGTCGAACTTCTCTTTCGACTTGAGTTTTTGGCTCTTCGAATAAGATTCCCACTGAATCTTTCTTGACATTTGCAGTCCAATCCCATTCTTTGAACTCATCTATGATCACGTCCCTGCTGATCACAATCTTCTTGTTCTCTGGATCGAACAACTTGTAGCCTCTTGTCGAATGATATCCAACTAGGATCATTTGACTTGACTTGTCATCAAGTTTATTTCTCAACTGATCTGGCACATGTCTATGTGCAATAGATCCAAATACTTTCAGATGACTTAGGCTAGGCTTCACACCAGACCAAAATTCTTCTGGAGTAATTCCTTCTAGCTTCTTTGTAGGACTTCTTTTCAAAATGTATGTTGCAGTCGAAACAGCTTCACCCCAGAACTCTTTGGGTAAATTCTTGCCTTTCAACATACTTCTCACCATGTTCATGATGGTTCGATTTTTCCTTTCTGCAATTCCATTTTGCTGTGGAGTATAGGGTGGCACCACCTCATGCACAATCCCTTCTTTTTCACATAATCTATCAAAATCTTTCGACACATATTCTCCTCCACCATCAGTTCTCAAAACTTTGAGCTTTCGACCGCTTTGTCTTTTGACCATGGACTTGAACTTGGTGAATACTTCGAACACTTCACTTTTCTGCTTGATCAGGTAAGTCCATAGCTTTCGACTGAAATCATCTATGAATGTAACAAATTATTTGTTACCTCCCATCGAATCCACCTGGATTGGTCCACATACATCAGAGTATATGATTTCGAGACTAGCCTTCGATCTGCTTCCTGCATCCTTGCTGAAGCTATTCTTGTGTTGCTTCGCCTGCACACATTCTTCACATACTTCGTTTGGAATGTCAATTTCAGGCAATCCTGAAACCATATTTCTTCTCTTCAAATCTCTGATGTCTCTGAAGTTGAGATGACCTAGTCTATAATGCCATATCCATTCATCTCTGCTGGCTGCAGTCGAAAGGCACTTGTGCTCCATCACATTTATTTCAATCTTGAAGGTTCGATTCTGAGACATAGGAGCCTTCAAGATTACCCTCCCATTTGCATCAACAACTCTCATCAACTTATCTTCGATTGACACTTTATAATTCTTTTCGACCAACTGCCCTATACTGAGCAAATTGCTCTTCATGCCTGGTATGTACAATACATTCGAAATTACTGACTTCTTGCCATCTTTCCTCATGATCATAACATCACCAATACCTTCAGCTGCTAGTGTGTTGTCATTTGCAAATTTTACCATATTCTTCATTGAGGGTTTTATATTGACGAACCAGTCTTTCCTTCCAGACATATGTGATGAACATCCTGAATCCAAGTACCATTGGTCCTTGAATCTGTCTTCATCTCTTGTTGTGACCATCAGCATCATCTCTTATTCTTCTTCATGTTTTGCAAGCTTTGTATCAGCTTCTTGATTCTTTCGTTTTTCTGGACAATCACTCGAATAGTGACCATACTTCTGACAATTGTAACATTGAATGTGACTCTTATCAGGTTTTCGACCACCACCTCTTCCTCTGTTTGCAGCACCACCTCTTTGGTTGCCTTGGTGTGGTCTTCTTTGATTCGACACGTCTCCTTCGATTTGGTTTCCTCTACCATTCAATTTGTTGTAGCCACCTCTACTTCTGTCGAAATACTTTCCTTTGCCTTTGGTCTCTTTTGCTGAATGTGCCTGCAAGGCCACATCACTCTTCGATTTTCCTGCAGCTCTTTCGTTCATTCTTTGTTCATGAGATTCGAGCGTCTCTTGAAGCTCTTCCTTTGTCAATTTCGACAAGTCTTTCCCCTCTTCTATCGCCACCACTATGTGGTCTAACTTAGGAGCTAAGGATCTCAGGATCTTCGAAACAACAGCTCTTGTTGTTAATGTTTCTCCACATGTCTTGATTTGATTCACTAGTTTTGTAACTCTAGTGAAGAAATCAGATATGTTTTCACTGTCTTCCATCTGAAGCAGTTCATAGGTCCTTTTGTGAGTTTGTAACCTCACTTCTTTCACCTTCTCAGAACCTCCAAAAGATTTCTCCAGGATCTCCCAAGCTTCTTTTGCAGATTCTGAATCACTAATCTTTTCGAAGTTGTCTGGGCTGACACATTGATGAATTATAAACAATGCTTTATAACTCTGTTTCTCAGATTCTGTGTATTTCTTCTTTTCTTCTTCTGAAGCGTTTTCGCCAAGCGCTTCGACTCCATCTTTTACAAGGTCCCAAAGGCCTTGACAACTTAATAGGACTTTCATCTGCTTGCACCAATTCTCATAGTTGTCAACTTTCAGAATTGGCAGCGTTGCTGGATAGTTTGCATTCCCATAACTTGTCATCATGAATTCTTCAATCGTTCTGATTGATACTTCCCTTGAATCGAAACGCAAGCTCTTGATACCAG